AAAAAGAAAGATTCATGAAGCACAATGACCTGACAAGTTAATATCAAGTTCAAGGGGCCAATCATAACTACAATAGAGCTGTTGCGTTTGATTGGGAAATATAAGGCATTTGGCAAACTGTATTGGTAGAAAAGATAAGGTGGAAAAGGGCGCTTTTCCATCCAATTGTCCAATTTCTTTATCTTCTACAAGTCATAGAAGAGTTCATGTCCCGCTTCCTCCTTTGCTTAAGCCTCTAGAATCCCAAGTTGACTGCTTTGGTAAAATGATCAAGTAACTCTTGAATAGCAATGAGATGGACCAGTCAGACTTTTACATTTCTCATTGTTGGATCGATAAGCATAACTCCTCACAATTCTCTTTTAAAGTATGGCTTTCAAAAATGCAAAGGAGAACAACTCAAAATTCCAAATGAAATCTCATACATCCAACACTCCAGTTCCACACAGTGAAGAGACTGGTTCTCAGCCCTGCTGCACATCTGAATCTCCTGGGCTGCTACGGCTCAGACCTCATTCCAAACCTACAGAAGCAGAGTCTCTGGGAGGGGGCCTAAGACATCTGCATTTCTTGAATGCTCCCCAGGTGACTCTATTGTGTAGCGAGGGACAGGGCTTACAACCACTGTCATCATACAATGAAGCTGGATAAGGAAAAATGTAACATGGAGACAATTACATCCAGACCAATCAAGAACCACCTGCCATTTCTGAAAGTGTTAAGAAAGAACTCTGATTTCAGCATTTTGTGAACTGTCTTCCCTCTCATTGCAATCTCTGCATAGTACACTTCACTACAGAGTTATACAGATTTGCTGATTATATCATATAATTTAACCAGATAAACAGCAACCCTCCATTTTTGTCTTCCTTTGGCTGGAATGATCAAAAGATGTTTCTGTTTATTCTTTGTGTTGTTTTGTCTTATCTGTTTATGTTGTTGTTGTTGTTGTTATGTGCCGTCGAGTCAGCCCTGACTCATAGCGACCCCTCCTTGGGTTTCCGAGGCAGTATCACTATGGAAGTAGGATTGCCCAACCTTCCTTCCGAGGAGTGGCTGATGGGTTTGAACCACCAGCCATCTGGTGAGCAGTCAAGTGCCTTAGCCAGACTTAACAAAACCCAATCCAACCCACTGTCATCTAGTCAATTCTGAATCATAGTGACCCTATAGACAGAGTAGAATTCCCCAAAGGGTTTCCAAGGCTTTAAATTGTTACAGAAGCAGACTGTCTCATCTTTCTCCCATGGAGTGGCTGGTGGGTTCGAAATGCTGACCAACTGGTTAGCAGCACAATGTTTAACCACAGCACCACCAGAACTCCTTCTCATGAGACTAGGTAGTTTAATTCAATTCAATTCATCTAAAAATATTTCCATACTTATTATTTGCTAGGCACTGTGCTGGACTGTAAGGAGCCCTGACGGTGCAGTGGTTAAAGCTTTCAGATGCTAACTTAGAGGTCAAGGTTCTAAACCCACCAGCTGCTCCACAGGAGAAAGATGTAGCAATCTGCTTTTGTAAAGATCATAGCCTTGGAGACTATGGGGCTGTTCTCTGTCCCATAGGGTTGCTATGAGTCAGAATCAACTTGAGGGCAACAGATTTGGGTGCTGGGCCCTGAAAATGCAAGGATGACTGAAATATAGGAAACATTGTTCCCAATCTCAAAGAGCTCATCATCTATTCCAGTGTTTCTTAAATTAGAGTGTACATCAGAATTACCTGAAGGCCTTGGAAGAATACAGACTTCTCAACCCTACCTCCAGATTTTCTGATCCAGTGTCTATGGGGTGGAGCCTGGGAATTGGCATTTCAATCACTTTTTTAGGTGATGCTTCTGCTGCTGTTCTGGGGACTATAGTTTGAGACATATTCTATCCTCCCATTAATATACCCTCACTGCTTTCTACCTAACATTAGAAAATCTATGTATCCAGCAAATGTCATGATGACATTGGAAATATGAACTTATGAATGCCACTATTTATGAACAGATCCTTAAGAACAGTTGAATTATAGTAAAATGTCATTTGTGTATATGTTCTAATTACATTTCCCTCCAAGTCAGCATTTGTTGATTTAATTTGCTCACTCCTTTCTAACATTTGAAGAACTTCTATTTCTCTTAAGGCTAGTGAAGACATTCTAGACACCATGGTTAAATGAGTGACCTTTCACAAGATCCCAAGATCCATGATATTATTAACAAACTTCCTCACTTCTATTTCATTTATCAAAGATGTGGCTGTAAAATGCTGGTGTGAAATAATAGAGATTCTGTCACGTACCTCATGTAGTCTTTCACAGTCATCTGAACTATTCCTTGTTCATGCAAAGAAACTGTAACAACAAAAAGAGGGAGAGGGTAGTTAATTTTCCTTTGCCTTGTGGAAGATTTCTTTTACCCCCAAATGAACCTACATGGGATTGATTTCCATATCTAAGGGAGTATAGGCATCAGACACAAGACATCTCTTTTGTAGTGAATAAGACAAAATGTAATTAATGGCTAGATTGTGTGATAAACATTTGAAGAAATGTGGGACTTGTTCAGCAAAGTGGGAAGTTAGTGACTAATGAAGTAGTCAGCAAAGGTTTCATGAAGGAAGTGGTATTTATCTTGGAGTTTTAAAAAGGGGTAGAATTTGATGGATAGAAAACAAATAATACTTTCAAAGAAGAGAAAGTAAGATGTCTATATCAAGTGCAAAGCACAATGATAGGGCTAGTCTAATTATATTATAGGGCATTTGATACAGCCTAGCATGATACATAAAGTTGGGGTATAAGGTCAGGACAGACATAAGGGATACATGAAGGACTCATCATTTATGGAGCTTCTTCAAACAATTCATATATAATCCTTACAACAGCCTTATAATTTTGGAACTATCTTCATTTTTCAGATAAGGAAATTAAGACTCATAGGAGTTAGGAAATAAGCCCATAATCCCAAAATTAAAAGTAGCAGATCCAGGAATTTATTATTACCTTTATTAATTATAGCCAGAGTAACCCAAACAAACCAAACCCACTGCCATAGAGTCCACTCCAATTCATAGTGACCCTGTAGGACAGAGTAGAACTGTCCTATAGAGCGTCCAAGGTTGTAAATCTTTACAGAAGTTGCTAGTGGGCAGCCAAGCACTCCAACCACTGCACAATCAGTGTGTCATATACTCAGACTACCCCAAAAACCAAAAAAGTCATCTAGTTTATTTCAACTCATAGTGACCTCTACAGGGTTTCCAAGGCTGTAAACCTTTACAGAAGCAGACTGCTTCATCTTTCTCCCACAGAGTGGCTAGTGGGTTGAACTACTGCCCTTTTGGTTAGCAGCCCAATGCCCTAACCACAGCACCACCAAAGCTCCTATATAGCTAGAGTAGTTACTATTTATTTAGCGCTTAGTTTGTGAGAGGCAAGGAGCTCTGGTGGTGTAGTGGTTAAGGCATTTGGCTACTAACAAAATAGTGGGTGGCTCAAACTCACCAGTTGCTAAGTGAGAAAAAGATGAAGTAGTCTACTTCCCTATAGATTCATGGCCTCAGTGAGCCTACTATGTCCTACAGGGTCACTATGAATCAGAAACATCTTAATGGTAGTAGATTTGGTTTTGGTTTGTGAGAGGCCCTGTGATAAGCATGTTACATGCACAGTCTCTCTTAATTCATATAACAAATCCATGAAGTAATTATTACTAATCCCATTTAACAGAGGGAAAAACAGAGGCTCACAGAGATTAAATAAATTTCCCATGATCTGTAACATTTGTTGTTATTTCTTTGGTTCTTTTTCCAACACCACAATGCCAAACAGAATGTCTGAAAGCTTGTTTGAAAGTCATAAAGAGGAGTTTATACTTGCATGTAAGAAAACGGAAAACCATAAAAGATTTTTGAGGAAACAAGTAAATGTGATAAAGGTGACGTTGAAGACCCACTTGACTGGTAGTGGTGCTAAGGACAGATTGAAATCAAATCAAAACCAAACCTATTACTGTCAAGTTGATTCCAAATCACAGCAACCCTAAGGAGCAGTGTAGAATTGCCCCACAGGGTTTCCAAGGCTGTAATCTTTAAAGAAGCAGACTGCCTCATCTTTCTCCCACAGAGTGCCTGGTAGGTGCAAACCACCAACTTCTCAATTAACAACTGAGCGCTTAACCACTCCTTAAGGACAAATTAGAGGAGATAAATATTGTATGTCAGAGAGGCTCATGCAGTGCAGTTGCAGTATTCAGACGCTGTGTCAGGACAAAACATTGCAGCACACACCTGAAGAGGGAAAAGTTCAGAATGTGGGCAAGTTTCTCAGAATGTTTACTGTCTTCTCATGCATTTCCTCACAGTTATGGCTCTCCTAGGTTCAAATGTGTGACTTGTATAAAACCAAGAAGTATTGCCCTCTCATACTTCTATGAGAACATGTAATTTTTCACCATAAGAAAAATAATAAAGATTTTGGGGAAAAAATCAGCAAAACAAACCTGAAGTGATTGAAACAGGATGAAAGAAGGCTGACAATTATAAAGGACTCTAGTCTGGAGTCAGAGTTCTTGTCAGGATTGGGCTCTATGTATAGACTTCAAGATATCTCTGAACTTCTCTCTGAATGCCAAATGTTGGAGTCATAAATAAGAATACCCATAGTTTTCAGCAGATTTTTAAAAGATCCAGTGATCCTACTAAATGGAAGAAAGGATAATGGTCTTGAAAGATAAAAACTGGAGATATATTATTAAGGTATGAGTGAACAGTGGATTTTTAACTAAGCCTCAAATATACAACTATTCCTTACAGTAATAGTGTATAAGAGATTCAAGAAATTTCTGTTCTACAAAGCAAATGGAACTCTGTCACCGAAAGAGTTAAATAAGCTGAAAAATATAAATATATTTTAAAGGTTTAAATACAGAGTAAGGTTAAGTATGGCTTCTGTGCTACTACTCTTCATCCGGCTCTCATGGCAGACATCATTAATCAATTGCTTCACTTTCCGATAGGGTATAGATAGGCTCTCAGAATCATCAGGAATGCCACTAACAACTGATTAGAATTATCAGTAAGATGAAGCTTATTTTTAGAATTATCAGTAAGATGAAGCTTATTTTCTGTCCTCTGTTTAGAATAAACTCAGCAGTGGGTTTTTGGTTAAACAGAGTAATTTAGGGGTATATATCTTGACTTTGGTAGCGTAGTGCCTAAGGCACTTGACTGCTAACCAGAAGGCTGGTGGTTCAAACCCACTAGACACTCCTTGGAAGGAAGATTGGACAATCTACTTCTGTAGTGATACTGCCTCGGAAACACAAGGAGGGGTCGCTATGAGTCATGTCTGACTTGATGGCACATAACAACAACAACAACAACAACAACTTGGCTTTAGAAGTTAATAACTTAAAGAAAATAAATGCTAACACCTAATAAAACATTCCAGGGAACCACTGCCAAAGATAGAATTTAAGGTAAATAATCATTATCATGATACAGTGTAACATTTCTTAAATTTTCTATGCAACATCTGGTGACAAATATTCACATAAGTGAAAAGATTTGATTTCAACTTATGCACCAACTCAGCAATGAACTTAGAATCAGAACTATAGTCTTCTCTGCCCCTTAATTCCAGGGCATTAAAACTCTGGGTTTAGTTGGAGACTCTCACAACCATATGAAGTCTTCTGCAAAATTCTAATAATATGAAAAGGGAGCTGTTCTAGATGAAGTAGTCTCTTGTTTAGTTTTTCTTTCACCCCATGAGGCCTCTGTAGGAGGTAGGGTTCAAAAAATATCTATCAATTTATTCAATACATAAGTCTTTCATCTAGGCAGCACTGCTAATCCATTGTAGCATCTTGCTCACTGAATTCTGTGCTGTCTCAGAGCCTCTCAAGCTCAAGAAGCTACTGTCAATTGATTGAAGTTGGCACATGACAGAAAACCTATTTGCCACCTTATTAATCGTGTTATTGAAGCAAGCACAGTATAATCTTTGGCTATCATGTTGTAATGACTTAGTCATGATGAAATAAATAATAAGCTACCCAAGATGGAAGGTAAAATAAATATTTATAATTTTAAGCATTTTTTTTTTCGATTTTCATCACCACTGCTTCCTTCTATTGCTTTGCATACTACACAAAGGAAGGCTCTATTTATGCCTGGTTTAGCTAACCTGGTGAGTTCTGGAGAATTCTGGGGAGTTTCTGAGTGCCTCTCCTCTCCTAAGTTTCCAGCACATTTAGTTGCTTACTCTGCCAGTACCGCCACTGTTGCCCCTTGCTTCAGTTTCTTCTGGTTGTCTGTTATTGCTTTGAGTGTGAATGAATGTATACAATCTGAGTCAAGAGCCCCACATTGTGGTCACAGTGAATTGCTCAAACTGTCAGAGAAGAAAGATCAGTTTTAGATATTGATGAGAAGAGTTAGTGCAGCCTTGCTGAGTTTTCAAAAATCCTAGCCCTGCAGAAAATCTAGCCATCCAGAAAAATCTGCAGCCCTTCACCCACGGCATCATCGTGGGATTCCAGTGTCCATATTCCATGAATGACACCTGAAGGTGTTATTCAGGAGCAATCTGGTTACCGGGAAACCAAAGGTAGCCTTTCAGAGGAAAAGAAGTCCCTAAGGATAAATTGGGAGCTCTGGTAGCATAGTGGCTAAGGCACTTGACTGCTAACCAGAAGGCTGGTGGTTCAAACCCACCAGCCACTCCTCGGAAGGAAGGTTGGGCAATCCTACTTCCGTAGTGATACTGCCTCGGAAACCCAAGGAGGGGTCGCTATGAGTCAGAGCTGACTCGATGGCACATAACAACAACAACAAGGATAATATGTTTTCCAAAGATTGTGCAAAGGGGGCAGGCTAGGTCACAGTGGAGGGTGTTCTGGTCTGATAACACACAAGAAAGCTTTATACAGTTTTAGCACTAGCTGAAGAAAAGGGCTTTCTTACATTTCTCCATGCATCTTCCTCTGAGGCCCCCTATCACTGACAATTTAGATCCCATCTACAGAATCTTGAAGTTTGTGGGTGGTGCAAAAAAGTAACGCACTCAGCTACTACCAAAAGCTTGGCAGTTCAAGTCCATCCAAAAGGCTTCTAAAGAAAGGTCTGGCAATGTACTTCCAAAAAGCCAGCTGTTGAAAACGCTATGGAACACAGCTGCACTCTGACATGCACTGGGTTGTCATGAGTTGGGGCCAACTTGACAGTATTTGGGCCTCCAGAATCCCACCCTCGTTGGCATATAGTTTTTACCTCTTTTACTAGACGCCTTTATTTTTCCTTCTTGATCTTATATAAAATGACACTAATGTCTATCCACATCAGGTACAT